TCAAACCAAGCAGCTTTCTGTTGGTCAACACAGTTAATCCATGTGAACAACTTCACCATTCCTTCATCCATTCCTTCTGAAATGACTCAAAATCCATTTCAACGAGCTTAATGGGAAAAATTATGTAATTAAAAAATATATATTTTATAATTTATAATAGTTTAAAACACATTTAATAAAAATAAAAAAAGTACAATAACTATACAATTATACAACACTATTAGGATACAGCCTCTAAAATACTAAAATCAATTAACTATTTAGATCATATGTCACCGAATGTTAAAGTTAATACTATGGACTGGGATTCTGTGTCCTTAATAAAGATTGAATGAATACTCAGAACGTGTGATCCATACACAGCACCCGCTGATGTTTTCATTGCTTTGAAGCTGGCAAAATTTCGACCAGACTTGGAGTTTGGAGATATTTACATATATTATAGAGAATCCGTCACCGCACAAAAAATGAAAGCCTACAAAAGTACAGATAGCTATATTTTTTTTCAAGAGTGGATAGGTTAACAACTCTGTATTAACACCATAACATCAGCAAATCATCAGTCTAAATGCACGTCACCTGTCTCTATGACAGGATAATTTATGACTGTCACTGAAGTGAACTCAGATGGATGCATAACTTGCAGTTCGTCTGATTCGTCTACCCACGTGATGCCACATGAAAACATATATGGTAATCTAATTATAAAAGGAAAGAAATGTATAGCTTTAAAAATTGTACGTGGTAGGTACTGTGCTTATGAATAATAAACTTTATCTACATAAAACCTTTTTCTATGCTACTGTATGTACATCATTCCTACAGCTTGAACGAACCGTTTTGTTGCTATAGAACGAGGTTCTTGTCGCCAACCAGTACTTGTGACGTCATGTGCAAAGTATGAATACTCTTAGCTGTCAAAGCAGCCTCTAAAGCACACGGCTATGATTTATGGATATATTACACAGAGAGAGGCTCAGAGATGCAAACTCAGTTCACTGTTCTATTTATTGCATCTTAATCCCCATCTGACATCAGATCAGACTTACTATTCATCAGATCTCCTGGCTTTTCTCAACCCCAATCCTATTCTCATGGACAAATGTGAATCCTTGTGTATTCATTACTTCTCGGCAAAGAGTCAGGAGAGGTTATATTTCCTGTTTCAACAATGTATGTCTTATGTCTACAGGAAACACAAAGCCTAGTGCATTCAGATGCCTATAAATACGTTTATTTTTTACAGAATATAACGATGAATGATGAAAATACATTTAAAACTACGCAAAGTGGACGAGGAGAGTGTTAAGATCACCAGCTGGGGTGCCCTTGAGAGCCACCAGAGGGCACTCCACATCAGACTATTGTCATTCCCTCACAAACTACATCTCCCATAATAACTAACTGCCTGGACTCTTCATCCATTAGCTATCGCATTCACCTCTGCCAACCAAACCTGGTTTTCTACTTCATTATTTTCAAAGTCTTGGTTAGTGTTAGACTGCAATTCCAAGTCTCTTGGTTTTTGGATTTGTTGCCTGTTCCGTGGATTACTCTTTTGCCCGTGTTCCCTGCCTTGTTGTGTTTGTTTTTGTTTGTTTTCGACTACGATTGTGGATTACCCTTTCAATAAAACTGAATTTGGATTCTCAACCTTTGTGTCTCAGAGCAGTACGTGATAGAGAGGGTGTTTTTCTAGGTCCAATAGGTATAACTTGTGGCGCAAAGCCCATCTACTTGCTTGACAAGGTAAAATCAGCTTACATCAATAAACCACCAAAATGAATTGTAATCTACGTAGATCAATAATCCCCATTTTGCATGTTAATGAAATACAGGTTTATCGAAGTGAGAAATGAAAATACTATTACTATTTAACAGCTGAAACTGCTCCTTAAATCTCCTGACAAGCATATTTCATTTACTTTGTGAAACACTTATTGGCAAACGTTCTGCGAAAACAAAGCCCCTTAAACTATTTACAAACTAATACATGACTGTTGTTTGTATCTGGAGGGTCAACTAGACTCAAAGCTGTGTGAGAAAAGTGAAAAAACACACCAGTCAACTCACAAAAAACATGGCTTTTCTTGAGTTCAGCAATAGTCAGCACATTCACACAAACCTTTGAGAAGGCTCTCACAGAATCTGTGTCCACAGAGAACACTGCAGATTTCCGTAGGATTGTAACACCTATGGAGTCAAGATGTACTAACCTAAAAATGTGTAGAAACGTATGCCACACTACCATTCAAAAGCCAGTCTCCTGCTTACCAACACAGCAATGATTTGATGCAATGCAATGCAATGCAACAGTAATATTCAGAAATCCACAAAGACATTGTTCATAGGATAAAAATGACCAAATATTTACCATAAAAATGCGTTTTACTATCTACGGAAAGCACATTCTCTTTCTCATGCTCTCTCTCCCATACAAAAGCACACACATACAGTACAGAAACGGATGGAAACATTCAAGTACACCAAAAGTTTTCAGTGCTGCCCCGAGACTTAGTAAAATAGTTTCGCAACTGAAAAGCTACATGACATTTCTCAGTAGAAAGGTAGTAACAGTGGTGTTAAAGCACAGGCTTTAAACTGAAGCCTGAACACGCCCCGTACCCAAGATCGTTGGACCCGCCTCGGATGGAATTGTTAAAATTTAAAACCGAATCAAACCCGAACCCGAAATTGGTTTCTCACAACAAATAACTTTTTGCAAAATTCTGTATTTTTAGGATTGCAAGCAACAGTCATTAATCAAATATGTGTAAACAAACGCAGTTTCATCAAAACACAGCTGCCCCTCTGGAGCAAAACAGAAAAAGCAAAGCACGTACTGTAGACTTACACAAATATTTCCGAGTTATGAAGAGAATGGCATCGACAGTTGATGTTTTTGTAGATTTTTTTTCTTTCGTTTTTCTTTCGTAGTTATAAACCAGAACCCCTAGTAACAGCCGCCTCACGCATTACCACTTCGGTTGTGTATTATTTTTTAAACAATTCAACCGTCCGATGTCAATCATTTCTTATATAAACTTCAATGCTTTTTTTTTTTTTTTGGTAGGGATTTCTGATGAACAAAAAGTTCAAAATAATTTATTTGGCATAACATGTTCTATACTGAAATATTTATGTACTTTTCTTTAAGTCACTTGTCAATTTAAAGTAAAATCGTACGGACCAAAAATGTTTGAACAGTGTAAATGAAAGAGCTTTATATTCCATTTCTCAGTCACAAATCTTGAATACAACAGTACATATAACTTTGTTGGATAATTCATCCATCCTCATGGACTCAAGAAACAGCAAAAAAAAAAATCCACAGTTTCCTTATGAGCCTGCAGCTGCTCATGAGCTACTGTTCTTCCTCTGGCAACACATGCAGACCTCTCTACTAAAGCTTGATGGCTACTTCTGATTGAGCATTATTCCTATGTATTCACTCACTTGTATATTTCTCTTATACAACACCACAAATGATGGTCTTCTCATGAGTGGGAGATCAGTAACCAGCATTTCTACTTTTTAATGGGATGTCTTCGCAAGCAAATATCTCCCTCGCAGACTCATAGAAAAAAAAAATCAGGTCATCTAAAAATGATTCATTTTTCATCCCTCTTTGTGGCTCATCTATAGTAATACATAAGACATGAGCCTCAATAAAACATTTTCCTCTCCCACTAAGTAGAGCTCAAAGGTAAAATGATGCTAGATCCCAGTCTGTCAGAAGGAAAGAGTTATTGAGTGGCTCCCTGATGACTGTTGAGAGGGTGCAAATAGAGACAGACATCTATGGCCATTTCCACACAGACTGCTGTTTTTCAGGGGTTTTAAGACAGCAAGTCTAGTCTCATGACCCCTGTTTTGTTTCACTCCATTGCAAAACGTCTTGTCTAAATTCTCTCTTAACCTGCATGCCTTATGATTCATTTGCAGACAATTACAAGCTAAAGGTTTGAACATCCATCTCACACACAGATGGTTTAAACCAGAACGGTCTCAATCTGGCGTGTTTCTGAGGGTAAATCAGCCTCATTCTATTTGGATGAACTTGGTCAGGGATATCAGTTGCACTAAAATACATTGACTATTTAGCACTCTGACACTGAGGATAACGGCTGTGTTTGTCATAATGATAAAAGGCCTAGGCAGAAGAGTATTGTTACCTGATACCTGGGATTCCCAGAGGATCTCTCTATGCTGATGTGCACTCAATGCACTTTGTGCAAACCGAAGCTCTGCTTCAAAACCTAGTAAGCTCTGCCTACAGCCTACTAATGCAGCATCCCGACAGTCTTGGAACCTTATAAGGGACTTATTTGGAATCTGCAGCAGCTCCAGCACCAACGGTTATCTTCATTAAACAAACATTAAACAAATAGCATGTAATAGAAAATGGTCAACAAACTGTTTTGACGCATGTCAATTTAATACTGAATATTCTAAAATATTTCTGATGCTGTGATGACAGAATGCTAAAAATCAAATGCTAAATTGTCCATTCTTCTAAATGGTAATGTATAGAAAGTTTTAAAGAACCCCACATAGCATTTTAGCAAACGTCTTTACTGTCACTTTTGAGCAGCAGTGCATTTCTCTCATCTTTGAGCTTGTCATCATGACGCATTCTGGGATTGCATTTACAGTATTTTTTTTTTTCAAATCAAGGTCTCATTAAGAAGCCTAACTTTTGGAACAATTTCACAGTAGTGTGCCTGTGATGCCTTAGAATACTACCTCAGAAAGCAGCTCACTACGTTTTGGAAAAGAGCTTAATTTCAGATAATTTTGAGTAGTACAACCCCCAGTACGGTTTATACTAAAGATGGCTATTTAGACTGTATCTTGCTGGAATTCACTTCACCTGCCTTCCATGACTAGATTTCTCTCTTTTTGAGAGAGACCAAAGAGTCAGGTCTTTTCTTGTCCCCTTTTCAGAAAAGTGGCAGCTTAAAGATGTAATAATTCCGTGGTGTCAAATAAAAACGTACCTTTAGTGGGTTCTGTGCGCTTGGGTAGGTCCAATGTGTCATAGTTTTTGTCATGCTCTCCGTTTTTCCTCCCTAAGTGAAAAAGGAGAAGGCAGAGTGAGAGAGCGTGAGAGAAGAGACAGAGAGAGCAGTTGTACTGTAAGTGTCATTCTATAAGAGATGGAATTTACTGGTATGAAAATGTCAAATAGACCCAAGTCTCAGAACATACACAGTCACAGACGTGCCACACATAAATCTAGCTACTACTCAGATATGCAGAGACAAACTCTTGACACCAGCTCCCAAGAGAGGAACCCCCCATTAAAAATGCAAAATTTTTGGCATGGACGGCTGACTATAACAGAGTGAAGTAATGAACACTACTCCACTATCACACACAGAGAACATGTTAAAGGGACAGTTAATCATGTAGACACGTACAAATTAACATTCTGCCTTTATTTACTCACCCTCATATTGTTTCAAACATATTTAACATGCTCAAAAAACAACAAAAAGCATTTAAAAAATAGTCCACATGACTCACACACTATTAAGTGCGCTGAAGCCATAGTATTACAGGAAAAGACTAAAACAAAGCCATTTTTTTCAGAGAAAATCTTTCACTGAAGCATTTAACATCTTATTTCAAGAAATTTAATAGTTTAGTGTCTGAATTATTAAATGAAATAATGAATTACATTCATTGATCAATCTTTTTTATATTCATTCTCCTTTAAAAATTCTAAAAACAAGATAAACTTACATGAGAATCAACACAACACTTTTAAACCTAAAATCGTTTTTAAAAGATCTCTGCACAAGACAAGATAAAACTTATGAAAACAAGTCTTAATATTTTATGCATTTTATGCTTCTCTTTTAATTTATATTGTTTCAAAGAATTGAAAACATTTTAACTAATAAATAAAACAAAATACAGTGCTCATTTAGCACAGGATTTTTTTTTTTTTTTTTTTTTTTTTTTTTTTGCAGACAAATAATGCATGCACATTTTTGGACTTTTTTAAATATAAATCTATGGCACTTTTTGACATTTTTACTGTGTGTTTGACAGCCTCTGGTAAACATTCACTTTCATTGTATGGAAAAAGTGAACATTCTGTTAAACATCTCCTTTAGTCTTCTATGCAAGAAAACTAAAATCATAGAGGTTTAGATTAACATAAGGATGAGTAAATAATGACATTTCTGGGCGAACTATCCCTTTAAAGCAACGGGCAAGAAGACAGAATGTAAAAGCCAGGCCTCGTTAACAGATTACAACAGACATGCAGACATCTATGCCAGCTGAAAGCATCTTTGAACTGGCTAAATTGGTACAGCTTTGACAGTTCCCTGAAGAGAGGAATATTTAAGAATGATTGTTGAAAGAGTGCAAAAGGGGCAGTGATGAGTGTATGCTGAGAGAAACAGACAGACAGAGGAAAAGCAGGAAGAGACACTCACCTTGATTAAACCATTCCTCTACAGCAGCAATACCAATAGGGAAAAAAAGCAGGCAGGGGAAGAAGACAGGAGATTCAGAGAGTGTGTATTAAAGAAGACAGAACTTATTTGTGAACCACTTAAAAGTACATAGGAAAGAATAGAGTGTTTATAAAAAGTATTAAATTAAGAAGAGAGTCAGTTCCATTAGTTCTCTCAAGTGAAAAATAGTTAATCACGTTGAACAGTTCTTTGGAGCTAATAATTCACGAAATGATTACAAGAAAGTTAGAATATTCACATATTCCACGCGCCATTGTGTTCTGCAATGTGTCAGAACAATTCATAACGTAGCACAAGTGTGCGCAGCATTCTCAAAGTTGCTGCTGGGTTGCTATAGTGAGCATTTGCAGAATCAAACGCATCGTCTTCTTCGGACAGTTTTCTCTTTCAGGTCAACTACATGAAGATAAACTTTCAAGAAAATCTGACTAAGAAATTGACTTGTGTCAAAGTCAGGACATTCAGCTAACCGCCTGGAAATCGACACATTGATTTTCACAACGCTGGGGATCATTACTGCTAAGTGAAAACACAAAGAACTATCGTTCAAAAGTTTGGGGTGCTTTTTTTTTTCTCTCAGCATAAGAGATAAAAAGAAGCATAAGCAGAAAAACAAAACTGAGCACCAATTTACAGTAGCTGCAATAATATCTTTATGACCTACAGTAAGTTGATGAAAACATTGCGATGCACTTACTGCCTTGGATGTGCCCATTCTAATGACTGGCAAAACACGTATGTCTGAAATTCTCAGAAATTTGCTGGAGAAAAATCTAATGACTCTATTTGAGCTTGATTTTGATAAGAGGTTAATTAATATAATGAGACATACATGCATATATATACATACACACTGTATGTGTGTGTGTGTGTGTGTGTCTTTACTGTAACTTTTGATCAAATGAATGTACATAAAATCATTAATCTCTTTAAAATAACTTAAAATAAAAAATGTTGAATGCAAGTGTAATCTATGACATTAACACACTTTAATAATTAAGAATAAATACCGTGCAAACCAATTTTCAATCATTTCTAACATGATAGTGGTGCTGAAACGACACACTTTCTGCTTAAATTTGTGGTAAGCCAACATGGCAACCTAAACTTCATGTGTTTTGTGAGCAAGAATAAATTATGCCTTTTAACTCACAAAGCATTTTACTGGGACCAGGGATCTGTCAAAATAGCTTTCTGGGAAAACATCTCTTAATTTTTTGTTAAGGGCATTTTCTGGTGCAAATATAGGCCCCTTGCATTTTCAAAGTAAATCTGCAGGGCAGATAAACAAACCTCATTTAAAAAGGTCCACGAGGCACAGTATGCCATCAATGTTGTCATCTTAGTGGTTTAAGCACTTCTTGCTTTGATGAGTTCCCTTATTAGGTCTGTTCGAGAATCAGCTCGCTAAATCAGATCATTGATATATTCAAGAGGTCTCTCATCAGTCAATTTGAGAGAACAAAAATCTGGATAACTAATACAAAAACATAAAAAAAAAAGAAAAAAAGAGCTGGAACCTGCAAATGAATCAGCTCTCCTGGCATTATATTTAGAAAAAGTACCTGTACAACACAAGTGCATCGGTTGGAAGAACTGATTCAACTCAGCACTACAGACACTGAACCTACACCCACGTCCATTTAAAGATGAATATTGATTTAACATTGATACCCCAGACACACACTCCAGTCATGAATCATGAGCCACAATAGAGGACGTGCAGGCCAAACAAATAGCCTCAAGTATCATTTAGCTTCCTATTATCTGCCTGAACTGCTATTTATGATGTTGTGTAAATGCTAGGATCACACTGCCCTCCATGAACTCGCCGCTGATGAAAGAATCCGGCTGTTGATGATCAAGGCTCAATGATATAAAGGTGCTCAGTACTGTTTTAGAAGTATAAAGCACATAGATGAGACAAAGAAGAACTCAATAAAGACCTTTGGCCTTCTTTCCTCCGAAGCAGCCTGCGTCATCTTTCTTCTTCCTCTGAGTGCCAGCAGAGCCGGGGCCCTGAAGAACCGAGGGGTCCTGGAACTTCTCAGCCCCTGGAATCTCCTTGTGCACGTGGTAAGACAGGTTCCTCATGATGCAAACACAATTCTCCACAGACTAAGAGACAGCAAGAGAGAAATATTGAAAAAAATTAAATATAAATATAAATATTTTATTTCATACAGGCATTTCAATATCAACATAAAACATATATATTATAATATTAAAGATATGTTAAAACATAAAAAAAATAAAAGTATAATATAAATGTGGCCATTTGTCTAATAAGGAGTAAATAAAAATTGTATAATAATAATAATTTTATAATAATTAAATGACAATGACAACGTGGCTGGTTTTGTGTCTCATCAAATATTTACACTCAGATCAATATTTTGTGTTAATTTATTTATTTCAGAAGTAGCCAAGTATCAAGTGGGATAATGTACAGCAAGGCAGTCATTATAACACATGATCAATCTTTCAAGATGATACAAGATCCCTCTGTTTTAAGTTAAGATCCTGGGGCCAGTGGTGCCATACACATATCCATTAAGTAGACATGATTATTGTTGATTGAAGTCTTATTTCATGACAATTATCGATACTTCAGTAAAAACTAATACTAGGTAAATGAATGTAAGTATTAAGTCCTCAAATCAGTTAGAGTCAGCAAAACAAAAGAATAAAGAAACTTAGAACAAACCAAACCGACGAAAAATACAACAGAACAAAATAAAATTAAATAAACAGTGCTATAGGTTTTTTAGGAAGATGTACTAATAACAGTGGTATCGAGATAAGAAATAGCCTTTAACAGAAATAGGTCTCTGAGTGCACACATAGAAAACCGTCTAGTAGGGAAGAGTATCTCTTTCTCGGTTAATGTGCTTTTAATAATACTGTTTATTATCAAGCACGTCCCAGTTTAGCAACAGTAGATTGCATTTTACAACACTCACTTATTTGGCTGATTTGCATAGCTGAAAAGTAGAAGTAGATATTTTGAAGAATGTTTGTTATCAGACAGTTAACTTCCACAAAAAAATAAAAAATAAATAAATAAAAAAATACTGGGTGCCATCAACTGTCTGGTTAGTTACCAACATTCTTCAAAATATCTACTTTTGTGTTTGTAAAAAACTTGAGCAGGAGTAAACAATGACATCATTTTCATTGTTGGGGAACTTTCCCTTTTTTCATATTAAACTATGTTATTCCCTTAACTAAGACGAGTTGATACATACCTGCCTCGTCTCAGTGCGTGCATTCAATCGCTCTGACGCGTGAGACACTTTGATAGCACTTAACTAGCCCAGTTCATTCATTAGGATCCAGGCAGAGAAGCGACCAAACACCTCCATGTTTTCCCTATTTAAATGTAGTGCATTTAAGATGCACTTTTCTAAGTGTGTAAAGTGGATAACTATAATATATGGCGTAGAGCCAGACCGATATATCGGCAGACCAATATTATCGGCCGATATTAGACATTTTCCAAACTATCGGTATCAGCAGGTATAATGGCCGATATATGAATATTTCAAAAATAACATAAAAACAGACGAAACACGCTTGAACCATGTCATGAGTGTTGGAGTTGTATAGTTTGTCCATCAGAGGGCACTCTAAACCGCCACTGTTGGCAACACTCGTTGAGTTGGTCACGATACATACATTGCTTAAATAACAATTAAAAGATCATCCCCATCAGTTCTCTTAACTCAAATAAGCATGACAAAATTTGTGACTATCATGTCCTGTTTAAAAAAAATAAATTAAAAAAATAAGTAAAATATCAGCCGAAATATCGGAATATCGGATTTTAAAATCCAAAAATATTTGTATCGGTATCGGCCATCAAAATCTTTTATCGGTCGGGCTCTATACCACAGCAAGTGCTTGGAAGCAATTCGACCCGGCGCAGTAATATCATCATTTGTGAAAAGTCATCTCCCCCTTTCACTCTCCAGAGTGATGATATTACTGCACCAAGTCCATAGAAATATATGCCCCGAGTCGAGAGAGGAATGTATCCACTCATCTTAGTTAAGAGAATAACATAGCAGTAGTTTAATATGAAAAAAACAGTGGAGTATCCCTTTAACTCTGGCTTGGGGAGGAACGAAAGCGTGACACTGTGAAGGAAAGGAAGGTGCACTGGATGGAATGCGGCAGCATGATTTTATTGAATGCAATATTTTATCGAAATATCAATGCCACAATTTCAATATTGATCAAAATATATCAATATTAATTGTGACATTATATATATATATATATATATATATATACGTATATATACACTTTTTTTGCATATGACCTAAAGCATGTAATTTTAAGACAGAAATGGTTTAATATTTCAACAAAGATGGATCCATGCTCCAGCTACTGCTGCAAAAGATACTCACCTTGTTGTCCATGTCCTTCTTTCCCACAGCAGACAGTAGAGCATGCAGCAAGGCATCTACCAGCCCCTCACACTCTCTCAAACGTCTGCGCGCCTCTGCACCGTCTGAGCTCACATTCCTATGGCAAATAGCAAAAGCATGATTAAGCGCAAGCATTTTTACTGATTATATGCTGAAGTTTTTGTTGAGGAAGCTACTTTGAAATTCTAGCTTGCCAAGCTAAACTATTCATAATTGAATTAGTTAAACTTTAGACAAACTGCTCTTGTAAAAGTAAATACAAGCTAAATGGGGCCAATATCTTCCATTTATTACTTAAAGCACACTTTCATTATTTTAATATCACAGCAAAAACTACTAGCCTAACTAATACAGTTCAAACATCATTAAAAGGCAAGTGAAGAGTCAGTAAAATATGTACTACACTAATTACAAGCATAGACAAATACAATATTACAAAGTTACAAATAAAATAAGGCCTAACTTTGTATTCAGGTACAGAAATGTAATAATTTGGCTTAATTGAAAAAAAAAAAAACACACACTATAGTGTCCACTGTATAAATTAAATATAGATCAATCTTTGTTTTGTTGTTTGATTAACATTAATGACTTGGACAGCAGCAGGTTGTTCATAGGTTGCTGTCACTTTAAGACTGAATGCACAGATCCAATATAATGATACACATCCGATTTCTTTCTCAACTTATTACGTCCACTTAATACATAACCGACTGCGTTTACAAGAATACATGCTGAGACTGGTATTTTGACATAATTGTGTGTGTGTCCGATGCGAAAGAGGAATCAATTTGCGGTTCACATGCTATCTAGAAAGTGCTTCTTTGCGCGATTCTCTTGAGAACTGCTCGAGACTCCCGGCCGCAATGAAGAACATTTAAAGGACAATTACTCAAGCCTGTGTGTCATTTAATCCGCATAGCAAAGAAGTTAGGATAAGAGAACTCGAAGCTAGTTGTCGACTTGTAGATGCGAGAGCTTGAGTCGAGTAGGATAAGAAAAACACGACGGTTGTCGACTTGTAGACGCAGAGAGCATGAGAAGTGAGAAGTGAGAAAAATGACAAGAACCTCTGTGAGCCATCTGGGTTCTTCATTCTTAACCCTAAAATGCCTTTCCTACCAGCTGTTCAAGCTGTCGTTTTTTATAACTAGATTGCCAAGCTAAAAATCCTACTCATAAAAAAAGCCTCAGTCAGTCCACAGTCATCACTATCAAATGACAACGGGAGAAAACATAAATTAAACTAACACCCGGCCAAACAAATGGGTCCAATTCCAGCATTAGAAATTTAAACCCATTCGCAGTATAACACCCATATGGAATGTAACATTTTCCAGCTGCTGTTGTGGCTGCAATCCAGATATAAGAGAGATGGATTGCATTTTTACAGCTACCTGTCTGTTTCCTCCATAATGGCTGAAGTACAGTCAGCACAATATTGAATACTGCCTACAAATACTTGTACCTACATCACAGATTGAGAATTCAAGACATTATATTGTGGCAGATAAAACTGAAAACAAAAAATATATATAGTGTTTGCTGGCAGTTTAAGCATATTTATTCAGATGCCATGCCAGGAAATACAGTATATGTATAGGTCAGGGGGCATAAATGTTTGTGTGTGTGTTCTCTAATTTTTAAAATAATAAATAGTGTGTACGTGTGTGTTTTCTATTTTTTAAATTAAATAAAGTCTTATTTCAAATATTAAATTGCCAGCCCTAATATATTTCTGTAAATTACCATAAAAGGATTCAGTGACTTATGCAAGAGATTATATCCTGGAAATATTGGCAAAATCTTGTGAAATAAAGTGAAAATCTCACTGATAAACACTCAATCGCTTAGTTCTGCTAAGAACGTTTACCTCCAAACATCTCAAGTTTAACTGGACATGGACACACTAATCAGGAATTACAAATGTGCACATTTTGTTACAATGGACAAAAAAATAAATAAAGGGTGCTTTCCCTCTGCCAAGGAGAGACAGGAAACAAAACTCTGGCTCCAAGCAGCTTACTAGGCAACAGATGTCACAGGATACAGTTTCCATGGATACAGGCTGAGTTGAGACTAAAAAGACAGGATGAGGATGGAGTGGCGTTGTGCACAACCGCATGTCTGCGATGATGTGTGCTGGTGACCTGCTGAAAGGTGGCATGTGGAAACACATGATGCCATGATGGCTGAACTACCACCTCTCCCTATAGCATCCTTTAGACCCGCTGAGGCACGGTTTAACCTGATAATATTGACTGACCTGTCACAGGGGAATAGCCAGCAAGAGCCTTGGCAAATGAGAATGAGCTAAAGAGCGATAAGGAGGTTGAGAAAGAGTAAAAGAGAGAAAAGAAAACAAGGAGAAATATCACTTTCAAGAAGACGCATTCCTGGACGTTCCTCGTCTTAACAATTAAGATAAAGAAATAGGTCGACCAATACTGGATTTTGCAGAAATCAGAAAAAAAGAAAATATACGATTTTAAAATAAATTAATAATTCGTATTAAATTGAAAGGTAACAGTAAAGGCATTTATAATGTTACAAAATATATCGACTGTATTTCTACTAAATGTTGTTCGTTGAACTTTCTAGTCTTCAAAGAATAATTGCAACAAATATTAAGCTGTTTTCAAAATTGACATAATACGAAATGTTTATTGAGCACCATCAGCATATTAGAATGATTAAATAAAGGATCATGTGATACTGAAGACTGGAGTGAGGATGCTGAAAAGTCAGCTTTGCCATCACATGAATAAGTTACATTTTAAAAATATATTAAAATAGAAAACAGTATATTATTTCAGAATGGTTCAAGGGCCAATATTAGTTGACATCAACATAAACTCAATAAGAAATGGATATATAAATAAACAATTATGTCCATGCTTCCTACCTATATTTCTTTTTGCCGATATCTGAGATGTTCTATGAAATGGTATACTTGAAAAGTAAAGGAACAGACTGAGAGACTAAGAAGGGCGGATGAAGGCATGGAGGTAGAGTCACGCATAAGCAAGCAGAATTTGGACTTGGCCCAGCAGGTTGCAGCACAACCAGCAGTAGCAGCAGGAGATTAGAGGCCTGGCTGCTAGAGAGGAAACAGAGGGTGAAAACACAGCTTCAGTGCTGAGCTCACACACACACGACACAGCTTAAATAAGAGAAGAGAGGGAGGAATTAAAGGAAGAAGACAGAGTACCACACTCAATTTGCGACAAGTTTTTGTAGCATCCAAATCCTGCTTCTGAAAGACCCTTGATACATGTGGAATCAACAATGTGGTAAGGAACAGACATAAATATAATCATATCTGAATTAGAGCCAGGTCGATATTATCGGCCAATATTAGGCATTTTCCAAACTATCGGTATCAGCAGTTATAATGGCCGATAAATGAATATTTCAAAAATAAAATAAAAACGGACGAAACATGCCTCAACCATGTCATGAGTGTTGGAGATGTATAAGTTTGTCCATCAGAGGGCACTCTAAACCGTCCCTGTTGGCAACACTCGTTGAGTTGGTCACGAGACATACATTGCTTGAATAACAATTAAAAGAACATCCCCATCAGTTCTCTTAACTCAAATAAACATGACAAAATTTGTGACTATCATGTCCAGTTTTGCAGCTGTTAAATAAGCCGAGAGTGAATCGGAATTATCTAGTAATAATTATGTCACGTTGTTACAGTGTAGTTGACTGACTGTCCTTTTAACTTTTGACAATGTGACTGAAGTATTTCTTTAATAGCGCGTGACAGTTATAGCAATGAGACTTATCATCTCTCCTTGGCCTGTTACAGTATATTGAAAATGTATCGTTAACCATTGCAAAATTATGGCTCATCATAGACTAGCTAACTCCAGCTAGCTAATGCCACTATCATCAGTCTGTTCTATGGTGACAATAAAAGAATCAAGTTTCTGTTTAAAATGCATTATCATATTATTTTACTTAAAACTCATAAATAACTACAAATAACAAATGTTATGGAAATCTGTTAATGTTTTGTTGTGCGTTTCTGAAAAAAAAAAAATAAAAAAATAAAAAATCGGCCGATATATCGGAATATCGGATTTTAAAACCAACAAATATTTGTATCGGTATCGGTCTTCAAAATCCTTTATCGGTCGGGCTCTAATCTGAATCATACCTCTTACATTATCACATTATACAACAGATCACATCAATAAATCCCTCACCGTGCACATTTTAGATATCTCCCTTTATAATCAAGGACAACCAGATCACAACACTGTGTTCAAAGTACCTATTCACAAGATTAAGGATTTAAAGGGGGCACTTGAGGTCATGAAATTGAACTCAATGACCTGGTTCTGCCTCTAGCATGCTGATTTAGACAATCAGACCTGTGTGTGGAGGCTTATCCACCATTGCCATGGAAGTCTAGATAGGTGAAACAAGGAGAGTCACATCCAAACAAGGCAACAATAACCTGATTTAATGCCGCAATGTCAAGAGTGCAGTAATAATACTGTACGTGAATCCTAGAAAAGAAGGATCTTCGTCATAGCACTAGATCACATTGTTTGAGCCCAAGATCACATCAGTGGAGGAAGGTAACATGATCTGATGAGTTTAGCTCAATTCATGTCATTGTCAATCAATGGGCTGTTTCGAAAAGTACAGTGATGGCCAAGACGGCCAATCACAGTTTAAGCTAGAGATTCAAAACACATTTATTATTATATAGGCTATGGATCCATGGCCCAGTTATAATTGCTGAGACATTCAAAGACCCCACTGAATGAAAAAAAGACATCCTTTTCAGATATCAACCTCATATAAAGCAATTTTCTCTTGCCTTTTAGAGACAGAAGTGGGTGCAAGAAAGAACGAAAAGAAAAAAATGAACTCCACTTATTGTGGCAGGATGCATGGTAACCATGGCGATCTAAAGCCCTTTAGTGACAGGATATCTTAATCAAAAGCTGAGCTGCTTGAATGACCCCCAGAGGAGAGGATCATTGTCTACAGAGAGCTTTGTAACATACAAGCAATAATGGTTAAATATAGAACAGACACTATTGATTTTTGCCTTTAGTTATTATTTGGAGATGTTGCTATCATTTTTTCATAGAGTTTGTCAGAAGACAAATAAGCTTAATACAAAATTGTCTATTCGCACTTTCCTTTTTTTTTTTTGTCAGTTTCTTATATTAGTTGTCTCTCATACAGCAACAGCTAGTGTCGGGGAGTAACTAGTTACATGTAAAGGAGTTACATGTAACTGTAATCCATTACAGTTACTGAGAAAAAAAATGCGTAATTAAATTGCAGTTACTTATGAAAATGTTAACGATTACAAAGGTTGTTAAATCTGGATATTTTCTGTAAATGCTAGGATATGTTGAATAATATAAATGTGTTGCTTTGCCAGTTTTTGATGTGCACGATGCTTCCTGCTATTTAAAGGCCATTTAGTAAAGCAATGCTATTCTGATGCTTTTGATTGTCTCTTTGACAATTACGTCAAGTCACATTGCCGCTAGGCTACAACCTGTCTGAGAGTTACCACTATGGCGATTGGCGAGTGATAAAAATGCATTCCAGAGCTGGAAATGTAAAAATCATCTCATCCAGAAATTAGAAAAGGCACAAATATAAGTGCAAAATATGTTTGCCAACTATTAAAATGCAATCGACACTGAAGGTGTCAATGTCGATCCTGAGGAAGCATCTCCTATGATAAATATTAAGCGCCACCTATTGGTCGAATCCTTCTATTAGTGTGCTGTTTTGACTTGCAAAAAAGAGCTACTGGTATTTAACTACACAACGATTGGTCACTGAGTATAAACAAACTTTTTAATGGAATTTAACTTTTTTTTTTTTTTTTTTTTTTTTTTTTTAAACATGCATGTTATGAGAGCTACACTGGGGGAGTCTGTTTGGGTTGCCAGTGAGTATGAAACTAGAATATATTCTTGGTTCTGTTAGTGAGAAATTAATATTAGGCTTTATATGGTTTTATGTTTTCCCTTCACACACACACAGTGGTTAAACAGATAGTATTAGATATTTCAAATAGGGTAACTTGTAATCTGTAACCTATTACATTTTCAAAGTATCCTTCCCAACAGTGGCAACAGCTCATTTTAACAGCTGTTCCCATGGACAAAAATGATCATCTTCTCAAAGCTAAACATTTAAATTGGCTCTCTTACCCCTAGTACACAGGAACCATATCTAGTTATAATCAGTGTTGGGCAGTAAAGCATTGCCATAATAACACTGGTTTCTGCAGTAATAGTGTAATAACTTATGAATGATATCAGTAATAATATTACAGTTACCATCCATAAAATAGCTCATTACCATGTAAATTTTGTTGCTTCAAACCCTACTGATTTGAAATTAAATCATTCCTACATTAATTTGCATAGTCTTCACAACTCACACGTGCACATGATGTCACCATTGCAGCAAGCTAGCTTGGAATATGGAAAAATCTTACATTCAGCAACTGGAAATATAGACATTACATTACTAATGTAAGTTGTTGCATTACTTTACTCTGGCATTGCATGTCTTGCACACTCTCCAACTTATGTTTATTTTTTTGACAACATACATAATGAAATATAACTGTATCTGAGTAATGAATTATAGCTACAATTAGCATCAAGCTACATATGACAATTCATGAGATTAATGCCATGCTTTTACTCAAAACTCACTGTAAACTACACTAGGATTTTTGTAATAACTTCTGATTGCGATCTAACGTGGATTTTGGTCAAATGATGAGACAGAAATTTGTTTATTTGTAGCATTTTAGAATAAGTTATTTAGCATTTCTCATGTAAACATCCTCTATTTTTATAAAAATAGCCCAAATTACATGAAAATCACGTACAAATCATATGCCGTATGTTTCGTATGTTTATTAGCTTCATGTTTCATGAAATGTTTCTCTGGGTTAGTATGTACCGAAAAGAACACGAAAGAGACCAGGCAGGCTATGAACACATAATATGAGTGACAGTTGTGACAGAGTGCAGTTAATGATGTTACGCTGACTAATAACAGCAATTGTGGAAGTGAAAACACAGAGATAGTTTAGAAGCCACTAATATGTTCACCAGATCAAATAATTTAGAAGAAAATGAATAGAAATTATGACTTTGGCCAATTTTGTGGGGTATAACGGAAAAGTGATACAACAAGTAGTGTAACAGACAAAAAAAAAAATCTCAGAAAATAATAAGAAATGCTAAACGCTATTAAATTACTAAACGAAACTGTTAAAACTTTACAATAATGTCTCCTGTGTTAATATTAATTAATGCATTAACTAACATGAACACATTTTTTTATGTTAGTTAATAAAAGATTTCATGTTTTACAGTGCATTAACTGATGTTCACAAATGCAAGTTTTGATCTTAGAAATCATTAGTAAATACTGAGATTAACAAGTATTGTTCACTGTTAGTTTGAGTTAACTAATATAGCTAATTAATTTGAATACATGAAACCTTATTGTAAATTGCTAAAAAAAAAAAACTAAAATTGAAAATATAGGAAATAAAAGCTAATTCAAAATATGAATAAATACTATATTGGTATATAAACAATACTAAAATACCACTCAGAGAGACAGACCATCTTAATAAACACAAATGAATTTCTTTTGTTCATGTAAAGCCTTTTAGCAATCAAATTAGCATAGACTACATGGGTCAAAGGCTTTTGCAGAAACTTGCAAACACTATAAGACTAATGGGATTCATTGACATTGTTCTAGGTCAGCTGACGAGGATGGTGAAGAGGCTGTCAATCAGACCAGTGTACCTAAGACATCCAGATGTGTTCTTGAAGACGGTGGTCCACTCTGCATCTCGTGGCTTTGAGTCTTCGTTCGGCTCGTGTTCCCATCCCGAATGAGGGATAATGACCTCATTAGTCATCGTCTGAAGCCCGTGGTTAATTATCACCATCTTCAGTGGCTCATAGGAGGACAAGTTCCAAAGTGTTCCTAACAGGTGAAATGAGATGAGAGAAGAAGGAGGAGAGAGAAAAGAAATGAGAAAATAGGATCTGTTACATCTCTTAACACATGACACAAGAGCTACAAACAAAAAGTGGCACTGCTGTTAGATCTGTTGACTTGCACCACGCATTATGAAAGCATCGATTCTGAGTTTCCCGACAGGAACCTACATTATAGAAGTAAGAAGGATTGGAAAGGAGAAGCAAAGTTTGAGAAAAAAAATTCTCAGAGTACACAATGTGAAGCAAACTGGCTGTTGTTTTCTAGAGACAATAAAACAGAAGCTTGTTCTATAAGCCAGCAGACGTACTGTATATACGCCCACAGTTAAGACTAGCCTTTGTTTTATTAACTTGGCAAGCAACGTTCAGCTACTGCAACCCTTGGAAATGTAGAGTGGATAAATAAACTGACTTCTCTTGGGTTAGCAAAAATGAAGTCTCTGGACCGGAGGGCATTTTCATAGTGTTTACATAGCTTACTACAAACTCATAGTAATGTACATCCTGATGCAACTCTGAATCTATTTTCCTGCCCTTCATACACATCATTATTCTTCTCGTTCTGCAATTACTTCCAGATCCATTTCTGCTGACAAAAAACTACAACAGGAGACAAGAGGTCTATAAACATGCCATCGATCTCTGTAATGAGGCCTCGGGTTCTTTTAGCCCCCAAAATAAATCTATTTACCCTCTAATAATAACTAAATTTGTACTGCCATCTGCAAGGAGGCTTCATTGCCATCACCTCTTAGGTGCTGAATAGCCATAAGACCCTGGTTAAAGCCCAGATAACAGATGCCGTACACATGGCCCTTGCTGTACCTGGGAATGTGTACTTGGTAAAGTGGAACATTAAGGAGAATGGATCATTACCGGCCAGCTCATGCGCTCGTGCATGCGCTATTGTGTCAGATAGGCTTGTAGTCAGTGGAGACTATACATAGCACATGCTGATTAACTTCACTCCATTGGCTTTAATAGGAGGCAGACAACAGGAGCAAGCTGGAGCAGTCAAATGCCTTTTTAACTAGTGTTTACAATCGTCTACACAGACACAGTCAGCAATGACTTTTAAGAAATTAAGAAATTACTTACAGGAAAAAGAATAAATTACCTTTTAAAATGCATGAACAAAACAGTCATTTTAAACTGTAATAACATTTCACAATATTACTGTTTTTACTGCATGTTTGGTAAAATAAATTTCCTGCAAAATTAGAGCCAACGACTCACGACTCATTATTTGATGTTGATGTATTATCAGTTAGGTAAAGTAGAAAAAATTAGAACATTGTGCAAAGTTATGAGAGTATAAGTCATAATTTTGATGATTGAAACCCCAAATTCAATCCATCAGAAAATTAAATAAAGAAATGTCGGCCCTATGAAATCTATAATCATGCATTATGTAATATACACTCACGCAAAGGATTTTTAGGAACACCATACTAATACTGTGTTTGCCCCCTTTTGCCTTCAGGACTGTCTTAATTCTACGTGGCATTGATTCAACAAGGTGCTGAAAGCATTCTTTCGAAATGCTGGCCCATATTGATAGGATAGCATCTTGCAGTTGATGGAGATTTGTTCCAACACATCCCAAAGACGCTCTATTGGGTTGAGATCTGGTGACTGTGGGGGCCATTTTAGTACAGTGAACTCATTGTCATATTCAAGAAACCAATTGGAAATGATTCGAGCTTTGTGACATGGTGCATTATCCTGCTGGAAGTAGCCATCAAAGGATGGGTACATAGTGGCCATAAAGGGATGGACATGGTCAGAAACAAATGCTCAGGTAGGCCGTGGCATTTAAAGGAAGCTCAATTGGCACTAAGGGGCCTAAAGTGTGCCAATGAAACATCCCCCACACCATTACACCAACACCACCAGCCTGCACAGTTGTAACAAGGCATGATGGATCCATTTTCTCATTCTGTTTACGCCAAATTCTGACTCTACCATCTGAATGTCTCAACAGAAATCGAGACTCATCAGACCAGGCAACATTATTCCAGTCTTCAACTGTCCAATTTTGGTGAGCTCTTGTAAATTGTAGCCATTTTCTTCTATTTGTAGTGGAGATGAGTGGTGCCCGGTGGGGTCTTCTGCTGTTTTAGCCCATCTGCCTCAAGGTTGTGTGTGTTGTGGCTTCACAAATGCTTTGCTGCATACCTCAGTTGTAACGAGTGGTTATTTCAGTCAAAGTTGCTCTTCTATCAGCTTGAATCAGTTGCTTTCACACCATTCTTTGTGCATGAAAATACCAGTAGCTGAGCAGATTGTGAAATACTAAGACCGGCTCGTCTGGCATCAACAACCATGCCACTTTAAAATAGCTTAAATCACCTTTCTTTCCCATTCTGACATTCAGTTTGGAGTTCAGGAGATTGTCTTCACCAGGACCAAACCCCTAAATGCATTGATGCAACTGCCATGTGACTGGTTGATTAGATAATTGCATTACTGAGAAATGGAACAGGTGTTCCTAATAATCCTTTAGGGGAGTGTAGTTATTTATAATAAATATATTAGTTTCACCTTTTAATTTGAATTACTGAAATACATGAACCTTTGTTCTTTGTGAACTTGTGAACTTTTGTAACACAATCTATAGATATTTAAATAAAATATTAATATATAACATTAACATGAAATTTAAATCTCCTAGACTGAAAACAAAAGAGGGACATATAATGATGAGCCAAAACATTATGACTAGTCACAGGTGAAGCAAATATCACTGAACATCTCCTACCAAGGCCACATATTAAGGTCTGGGTACTAGATTAAATGGAGAGCAAAAAAAAATCAGTTCTCGTAATCAACATGTTGTATGCAGGAGAAATTGGAAGATTAAAGATCTGAATCTGGAATGGTTGGAACATGACGAAGAGTGGAAGGTGTTGCCCTGCCCTCCAAATTCCACAGGTCTCAATCTAATTGAACATCTATGGGATATTCTGGACCAATAAGTTCGATCCACAGCGGATCCACCTCGCAACCTACAGAATTTGGACGTCTTGGTGCCAGATACCACAGGGCATCTTCACGGGTCTTGTAGAGTCTATGCCTTGGTGGGTCAGTGCTGGTTTCACGTGGAGGACCAACAGCATATAATTAGGCAGGTGGTCATAATATTTTGGTTCATCTGTTTATTTATACAAAATAATAATATATTAATACTAATTGTTCAAACACACACACATACATACACCACATATAGTGGTAAAAATCTGGTGTTGTATCTGTTTGGTGCCCCTGCCATCTTTTTTGCAGGTTCCTGGATATCCCACAAATCTAATACAAAAGGAGCCAATGAAACCCACATAAGGGAAGCTGAACCTTGCAAGAGGTGCAGCCTGATTGAGTTTACTCCTTCCTGCTTGTCATTGGAGACTCCCAGCTAATTCAATTTCCTGGGAGCAGCAGACATGCTGTTCTAACAGGCCATTCACTTAGGGCTATTACAGTCGCATCCTGCCCCCTGCCATTCATCATACACTGATTGGACATCCGAGTCAGAGGGAAAGAAACAGGAAGAAGGGTAAACGAGGTAATCATCTCAGAAATGCCACCATACTCTGGACTTCTGGAATTTATGAACAATTTTTCATTTTGTAAGCTATGTTTAGTGGCCTTTTCTAATGTCCATACATATCATTAGGTGATTCAAATAGACCTTGTTCATGTTCAACAGTATTGAACATGAACAAGGAATAATTCCAGCTGTGAGATACAACACAGCACCAAATTGGTTTATAGTACAAAAGTCATCAAAATCAATCATTTAGTTATTATTCTTGATTTCTAAATGGCCCTATTTAATGTAATTTATATGATATTTTATTTTGCCTTCCACGGTTTTGTGTACGTTTTTCGAGGATAAGAATGCACCACACAACCTGTTCATGTTCTATCAAGTGACAAATTTGTGTGAAAGTTTCGAACAAATCGAATGAGAATGACTCGCTGACTCCTTCATAAAGGTAGTCACTTGTCGCCACCTACTGGCATAATGATGAAACTAGTCGCTGAACGTAAAAATGGATTAAGGAATGAGGAACTAAATCTGTTTCAGCTAGATACTGCCAGCAGTCAGAGCAAAAGAGAGATAAAATAAAGAGAAATAGAGAATTAGAGCAAGTTGGAGAGTTGTGTCAGATACAAAACGCAGTAAGGAAGTAATGCTTCACAGCCAATGGTATAAACACACTGCTATAGCTGTTCAGTTGTAATTAAATGATAAATTAGTTCAGAAAACAAGTTTTAACATTTAAGACAGAGAGCTATGTTGCTTTGAAGTTGTATCAGCCTTGACCACCTTAATATAAAAATATTAATATGAGCTGCTAATATTCAAAGCACACGAAGAACATTTTGACACAGGGTCACCAAATTAAAACGGACGATTTAATTAAAAATAATGCTGAAAAGTGGAAAAGGTAATGAAAAATTCTAAGCAGAAAGAAAAAAATAGTAGCAATATCCACAGAATGAGGTTCTTGGATGAGGGTGCAAATGGTGCTGCTGACGATACAGGGGTACTAACCATGACATTCAAGAGTACACGGTGAACCTATTTTTAAAGTCCTGCAATTATTTTTAATTGTAGAAAAACATTCCTGGTTTTCCAGGCTGGTGAAAGACCATTGTGAGAGCAGTGTTTTCATAGGGGCCTTTGCAGATAAACCATACGGCTCTCAAGGGCTCGGTTTGGAACTGACACACTAAATTCCCTCCATCCTGTCGAAGAGAAGCTATTTTTAACTGAAAGACTGAAAGCAACATTGTGCTGTATAGATAATCATTGAGGCTGCAGAGCCTTTATACGTCAGTTTCACACTCCCCAATAAAAGGATTCACTTAGGTATTTCACACACCACAAACTTTTTTTCTGTGGTCTGTGAAAACGCTGAATGTCTGGTCTGGAGAACCATCAAAGTCATTAGGAGAAAGGCTTTCTTTTTCAGTAGATTCACCAACCCTAGTAGAGGAAAAATCTGCATTTTTAAAAGTATATTACACCACACCGTTCAAATTTTATTTATTATTATTATTTTTTTTAAAGAAATGTATTATTTTTTTATTCCACAAGGATGCATTTGATTGATCAAAGCTAACCGTACATAAATTTATAATTAATTTCAATTTCAAATAAATGCTGTTCTTCTGAACTTTCTGTACATCAAAGAATCCAGATTTTTTTTTATCATAAAATAAAAAGTTTTGCCATCATATGAAAAAAAAAATATTTTAAAATATATAAAAAATGTTTAAATATATTCTTACATTTTTCACAATAGTCCTATTTATTTTTTATCAAATAAATGCAGTCTTGGTGAGCAGAAGAGACTTGAAACAAAACAAAAACGTGAAACAAACTTTTGAATGGTGTAACCATTTCATACAAATTTTTTTTAATACTTTTTTTTACTTAAGATTTTGTAAATCACTCACTTTGTCAGTGACACGAATTCCCTCTTTCAGTAATAAAATATCTTGTGTATGCATGCAAACACGCTTCTTTGGCCACTGTGTTTTTTGTGTGTTTGTTCTGAAGCCGAATCTCTTTTGCGTTCTCCATGATATAGTAAATGTATGTCAGGTCATGGGATTAAAGTCCCAGAAGGAGACACATAAACCACAGTGTTCTTACAGTGACCTGCAAGACCCTGCTCTACAGTCCCGCTGAAAGACTGACCTGGATTCAGCCATCAGTCTCGACTCATTTGGTATTTAAATGTGAAAACTTGGCGAGAGGCCTGTGGGAAGTATTAGAAGGATATTTGCCAAGCATGACAAGTTGAAATGAGAAAAATACAAATGAATGAATCATAGATGATTTAGGACGAACAAGCTAAAAAGATGAAAGGTTATTTTTGTCATTGGCCTGAATATTACTTTTATTGGTCAGGCAGTCACACAGGGTAAAGCCTGATTTATCTGGAATTGAATTTCGTAAGAGTTAGGGTTGCACATTCTCCACCATAAACATTCCCTCCTCAAATTTTAGATTATAGTGGTCAGAAAGGACAATTTGTACCGATTAAATGATTAAAACTGACAGAAACTTTTACACTCTTACACAAACTTGGTTTCAAATAAATTCTGTTTTTTGGAGCTTTCCATTAATCAAATAATCATGTTTTTTTTTTTTTAAGGTTTCCCCAAAAACATTAAGCAGTCTAAACTTTTTATACACTGATAATAAATGTTATTTGAGCAGCATATCAGCATATTAGAATGATTTCTGATGGATCATGTAACACTAATGACTTATTTTGTGGTATTAAAAAATATTTCACACACTGTAAAAATGAATATGCTTTATCTAATCAATAAAATCGTGGCAACAGATTACAAGCAATATTATTTATTAAATTGAACAAATTAGAATTGAGTAATAGTTAATCAAATTACCATTCTAATTAATTCGAATTTGTAATATTTAATTAATAATATTGCTTGTAATATGTTGCCACAATTTTACTGATTAGATAAAGCATATTATTTTTTTCAGTGCAATATTACTGTTTTACTGTATTTTTGGTCAAATAAATGCAGCTATCTTCAAAAGTTACTGTAAAAGTTTGCACAAAATGCTGTGGCAGAAGTCATTCACATGTCTTAGTCAGTTCAATCAACTCCAAACATAAACTATTCTACCAGACAGACACGTCTTACACTTCTTGAACTACTACTGTACTTTTAATTTTCTTCGGTCATGTCTTATTAATAACACCAAAAATTATGACTCACAAAGAAAACTACAAAATGAGGTGCACAACGCCCCTATACAACCAATTTTACAATATATTTTTTTATGGTCACAGTGCTAAATTCCAGTATGTAATGGCGCAGCTGAAGATTATCATATCGTACCTGTGATGAGTTCCCGAACTTCCATGTCATTGGTTTTCCTCAGCAGGCGGATGAGAGCAGGAATCCCATCACAGCTCTTGATGGCTACCTTGTTATCGTGGTCCTTGCCATAGGAGATGTTTCTCAGAGCTCCACAGGCCTTGCGGTGAACTTCAGCTTTAGGGTGGTCCAGCAAGCTCACCAGCACTGGGATCCCCTTCAGCTGCCTGACATCCTTCTTTATTTTGTCGTTCTCATAGCAGAGATGCTGCAGGTAGGCGGCGGCGTTGGACTTGACCGGATCGATGGGGTGACCTAGCATGGCGATGACCTCAGGCAAGTCGGGGTCCCTCCAGCGTGGATCTTTGCGGATGCTGTCAATCGAAGGGGAGCGACGGCCCCCCATGCGGTCAAGACTGGCCATGCTGCCCCTCTCGGGTTGGGCAAGAGGTGCCGGATACATGCCATGGATGTAGGGGTGTCTTTCGTCGATTAATTCAGCCTCAATGGGGTCATCGTAGCCTCTGTGATGAAGAAGAGAAAGAGAGAGATTTTAAAGTTATTTATCAGTCAACGAATGGGACTAACACCAGCCAAAAAAAAAAAAAGTGAAAAGAGTGGGAAACTCTGAATGTTAAATTATGTAGTGTAAGGGCTGTTTACACAGAATGTGTTTTCATTCTACTGTACTACTTTTCCATTGTTTTTCAATTTAAATGCACTAGATGGACATCATTGCGCTCACCCCGCATCTTTTGCAGCAACTTGCTCATGACACCTCAAGAAATTCACCGTTTAAAAAACGGATCCCTAGACTTTTGCTTTTTTTATATTCCACCAATCTGTGAACACCGCAAAAACATGTTCGGTTTGATCCAAGCCTGAGATTTCAGCACTGAAAAAAGCATGTGAAAACTTTTTTCTTCTTTTTTTCTTAAAACGGTTGTGCTATTAAATTTTTTTGTGGAAATTGTGACACATTTTTCTGCTACTTTTACATTTAATCAATTTAAGGCATATAAATTGTTATATAATCATATACATTTATATATAATCATATAAATTTATATATAATCATATAAATTGTTAATCTCACAACTTATATAGAGTGTCATTTGCCAACTGTGAGATCCTGATGTGGAACAATAAGATGTGCAGAATATGAAGGATGTTGGTAAAAAGACAAATGCCGGGACACAATTTACTCAATGCATTTGGGCATAATCAGTCTTAAGTATCAAATTACATTCATAATCACCCTTATAGTGTGTCCCCAGCTTAAGAAAGACAGAGAAAAATTTGATATTTACCATGGTGTTAAAGAATCCACAGCACTCGTCAATAAGAAAAACTGCTGCTATTTTCTTAATAATTATATCTGTCAGGACACAGTGATGTTCTCTTTCTTTAAATACTGATGGATGGGATACAGCATGAGGGAAAACAGAGAGCCTGCAGGACCCAGAGCAAATATAGAACAGACTGGAAACAAAGCGAGAGAGAGCGAGAGATAGCGAGAGAGAGCAAGAGAGAGAGAAAGAGAGAGAGATTTTTTTTCACAACAACTTTATTTGATCCTCAGAACTTCATATCATAACTTTTATATTGATATTAATAATTACATTTCTGTCACAAATCATTCTTTCTTCCACTCCAAAATACTTATTCCAATACTAAAGCAAAAACCACCATTACCTTCATTATATCCCCATTTTTGCAAAAAACCTTCATAATCATTAACCAACTTATAAAACTTAAAATCAATCAGAACCCGACTTTTCACCAAATTTTTAAAAACCATCTCAACTTTTTGCCCTACTATACCTTCTAACATCTTTTTTCTTGAGATATAAATAGCTCTTTTAGCTTGTCCAAAGAGAGAGGGAGAGAGAGAGAGAGAGAGAGAGAGAGAGAGAGAGAGAGAGAGAGAGAGAGAGAGAGAGAGAGAGAGAGAGAGAGAGAGAGAGAGAGAGAGAGAGAGAGAGAGAGAGAGAGATGTATAGGGAGCTAGATAGCTTTCCTAGAATTAGAATTAATAAAAAGAACAGTGTAATACAGCAGCGCTCCCACTGCTCTGGACTTTTTTGAGAGCCTCATCTTTAGTCATCAACAAGCAATCCAAATGTGGGAATAGGAAATGAAATAATCAGTGTGCATTTCTGTAGATCAGGTAAAGAAATGGAATAAAGTAGGCTCATCAAATATAAAATAACACTGCATATCTTTACTGTATACATTAAATATAGATTAATCTTTATTAAAGTTACAAAAGTAATTTAGTCAAGGGCATTGAGTGACTTTTTTGCAGTGAGTCTGTTGTTTGATTAACATTAAATGCAGCAGGAATATTATGTTGCTGTCACTTTAAGACAATGCACAGATCCAATAAACTGATAGTGTGTACACGTGTTTTCTTTCTAAACTTGCTACATTCACTATATAGCTACTATATATACACTATAAGACATAACAGACTATGTTTACTAGGAGACTATATATGCCAAGACAGACATTTTGACATAATTTTGTGTTAAATTGTCCATTCAAGTGCAAGACTTGAAAGGGAGATTAATTCATTATTCACACGCTGTCAGATGCGGTTTTCTGGTCGCCAGCTTCGGATGTGCAGTTTGCGCACACAAAACTTCTCACACAGCATGTGTTACTACCTTTCAAATATTTCGCTTGAATGTTTAAATTGGCAAGGCTAAAAAAAGTGTGCAAATTATAAACTTCATGGCGACACAGCACTGATTTGGACAGTGACAATTCAGTCAACAAGCCATGAATGTGCTCTCTCTTTCTCTCACGGTGAAAGCACGGGTGTGAGAGAAAGCAACACCAAAGTGACCAGGGGCGTCATGCAAGCCAAAATTCTGGGGGGGCACAATCTGAGATGTTGCAATTGTTTCCTGATGAGTGGTCATGTAAGGGGGGGTCAGGGGGTTTCTCCCCCTGAAATTTTTTTAAATTCTGGCTGCTAAACATACCATTTCAATGCAGTTTGGGAGGGACAGAAATACCTTAATGGAGCTAGCAGCAACCCTCCTCTATCTGAGGACTAAGTTAAAGTATCTTTTTTGTAAGTTTATGTAAAAGACAGGTTGATGAAAGAACTGTAAGCTCAAATTCAAAAGCTTTTGAAGTCTACTTCATTAAAGCATATTTACACACACACTTACTGTACACTTAGGCCTTCTACACATGTTTTTAAAAACAGTACCATTGCAGTTTTTATGTTATGATTTTAAATAGGTATGTGACCTAAGAACGATCTTACATTAAAGGTATACAGTATAAAGGGGCTAAGGTCTGACTTTGTGGTTCTCTGAAATTAAGTTATTTTAATATCAATATGTGATGAAGGACTTTGAAAGAAGTTCGACAGATTTCAGTGCTGAATAAGGTTAACACTACCCCGTTTATTTGAGCATATGATTTTGTCGCACCTTTTTTTTCTTTTCTACATGCCATGGGATAAATCAGTGCATGCTGATGAACAGTGGTCTTAATCTGCGTACCCTAGATGTAAAAAGACTGACAGTGACACAAAGACCTCATGTTAGCAAAATGTTTTAATCTTTTAACTCTCAAAAAAACTATTAAAAAACATGTATGTTCTTTAACATTAGATTATAATTTTACTGTCTTACCATATGGATGGAATTGATAAGATTTTAATAATAATAATGCCAATGACGTTCTGTTTATCGATCCGATTCTTTAGAATCAGAATCAGATTCTTTAACGATTCTCTTATTGATTCTTGATAGCATTTTGTGGAAAAATGTAGTCATGTGCTTTTTTTTTTTTTAAATCTTAAGCTTGAGTAGCCTAAGCAAACTGTACTTTTTATGTAATTCAAGTAATAAACAGAACATTATTGTAAAGTGTTACTGATTAGTTATACACCGATTCAGACGTCTCCCGAGTTCACTGTTGGAAAGATCAGTTGTTTTAACCATTCATTAAAATGAATCGGTTCAAATGAGTCATTAGTTCGCGAATTGGACGTGTTATGCGCGTTGTGTGATTATCCTAGCTGTTAGGACATGGATGTCATGTTTATGTCAACTGAATGTCCAGAACGCTTCTCAGAGAAGATAAGGCAACTTATTTAGCACAATTCACACCCAGCGGTAAATAAGGGGGAAAAACACAGAATGCTCCACATTAAACTTTCATCTTCCGACCTTTTACCACCGTGTCGATTTATTTTGATTAATAATATGTGCGAGGGTGGGAGACAGGGAGAGAGCAAGTTGCAAGAGTTTTGTATGGCAGGCAGTAACGTTAGCCAACTAGTTTACGGTTACACTAGGCTAGCTATTGATAACGTTACACTGCATTACATTGTTAATGCTCTGAATTCGCAGCTAATATCAATTCCATAACTTTTGATCAAGTTAAAATGTCCAGGTCAACCATAAATAATCCCACTACCTTTTAATATCATCCGATAACTAATTCAATGCCGATTTGTTGCATTTCCAACTTACCACTCGCCAGTTCAACGTGCGAGCTGCTTGTACCGCCGGAACATACACAGCAAAGATTCACGCGCGTAGATTTGATACACAGACACCATATTAGGAAAAACGGGCGGGCTAATGCTGACCGATTTATTATCACACATCAAGAAAAAGAATATATTTGAGTCGTTATAGGCTCTGGTAATTATGGAGCATAATAGGAATAAAGGAATCAGGGAAAAAATTAAAATAAATTTTAAAAGAATTTTAAAAAAATTATCAGGGAGGAAAAATCTGAGGGGGCACGTGCCCCCTCACTTTGAATGGGCATGACGCCACTGAAAGTGACTGACCAAAACCAAGCGACGGCACATAAAGCTCAGTTGGCAATGGAATTTAGACTATGAAGTGTTTGATTACTTTATTCAATTCTGTATATCCGACCTGTTAGACCTACCTAAAAATCTTAAATCACTGTTTACAAGTTTACATGGGTCAAGAACAACAAAAACAAAAAATTCTGAATTTTGACAAGGCAGGTAAAAATCTGGGCCTGTATTCATAAGGATTCTATGAATCCTCTCAGGAAACTCTTAATTTAGCTTAAATTTTTAATGCAGGAGTCTCAGCTTAAAGGCAACTCAGGACCAATCTGAGAGCAACTCTGAGTAAGGAAAAGACAAAAACTTAGTGAGGAGGCAGAGTTGACCCCATTGCTATGTATGAAACAATTTTTTGAAGACTGTGATTGGTTGGTTGTCCAAGAAGGAAAAAAGAGTGATTTTAAGTATAGGGCTTTTTTCCTGTTTCACTGTTCTCTCTCTCTCTCACACACACACATTATATGTGTGTATATAAATCCTTTTTTTATTTCCCATGCTGTTAATTTTCTATAAGGTATTTGATTGGCTTAGAATGATAAATGTTCCACTTTTTCCAACTGCACTGATTTCTGACATGTCTATTTAAGTGGTGGTTTGAATGTTAGTTTTTAATGTAAGAAACATGGAATCAAAACCAAGAAGGACGAGAAAGCCAGACTGGACAGAGGA